CACGATCTCCTGACACTTTCTCTTAATACATCTGACACGGACATCTAAAAACACTATAGCTCAACACTCTGACTGGAGGTATGAATTAAAAATTAACCCTGATGTATCAAAGCCACAGAGGAGTAATACATGGATGACCACTCGGGCGTAACGGCTACATGTGAACTGGTCGCTGGTGCAGAACACTGCCTGCCTCACTGTCACTCAAACAATCCTTAAGTCAAGGGCAGGAAACTCTCCCAAAGTCTGTACTGCTACATTACCAGCGATGATTAAAGAGTTGACATTGTCCAGCTGTTAAAATTCTACTGGACAGGTGACCCAGTGATTAGCTAGTATTATCAGCTAGGTCCCTGTGGTGTTTTGTCCTTATTGACTGAGAACTACAGGCCAAACACAAAACCCTTGTTATAGTGGACCCTTCCAGTAATGGTGTCTCCTATGACTAGGAGATGCCGGCCCCTTTGTCATTATGCATACAGATTATTTAAATAGGTTTCTCCACAAGGTGCCCTTGACTCCTCAGAGTGTCATGTTTGCTAAAGGACATGTCCAGTTTGCTCTCGGCCAGATAAGGGGGATCTATAGCAATGCATAATTGATAATAAGGGTATCAACAGATTACAGCTTTGTTTAAACAGACAAAACATCCGTATTCCCTGATACAGTACATGCATACAGACCAGCAGCCGTCACAGCATGTCTCCACTTAAACTCGGTCCTAACGACAAATTTACATCCTAAATAGAATTGCTTCCTTCTTAAGTTCTTAAAATATTCTGGTGAAATTTGCATTGAAACTACTCAGTTTTTAAAAAAAATCCTTACTGTTGAACGTGTATTGTGAAAAGATTGACATAAATTAAGCTCACAATGCTTATCAAACAAAGTTTTAACAAAGGAACTCGTTGATCTCTTTCTGTGGCCCCAAACATCTGAATGTCATTTTGTCCCCTTCTTGACCTTCAAGTTTAAAAGATCATTGAAATGTGAATATTTCAGGGCTCCTATTTGAATCATATTTTCTCATTCAAAGGTTTCAGATACAGATACTACCAATGAACATAATGTGGCCAGTATTGACTCTGCCAGTGAGCGACGCCCCTTTTTATGACCTATTTCTATAGCAAAGTCCATTTCAGATTTCTGAATAAAGGACCTAAAATGTCTACTGCTTTTTCACAAAGGAATAGTTCCAACATTCCCTCTTTTTCATTTTATTGAATTTATTGAAATTGCAATTTGTTGTATTTTTTAAAAAACACTATATTTATACATGACCTATTTTTAACAGTTGTTTCTTGTGAAATAGCAAGTCATTTCAAATTGTGATACATTAATAATTAAAATTCATTTCCAGAGATATAAAAAGGCTGGTGGATGCTTGAAAAAGGAACAGATTTTCTATAAGCCCATAGAAGTTAACAAAGAAGTAGTTTTCGACTGTTAAACTTAACTGTCCCCTGCAGCTAAGGGAGTATACCGATACCCTGTGTTTACAGTCGAGTATGACTTGCGAGGATGTCTCAATCACGCCCCAGTGTAACAAAGCTATCAACTTTCAATACAGAAACCTAATTGAACTGGCAGAAAACTTTATTAGAAAAATGTTGGTATCTTTACTACAACACAGCTCAACAGCGAACAACAAAAGGGCAGATTTCTTTCAAACTTGTCTATGCTAATATATCCTAGTTTTAAATGGATGATGTTCACAGAAGTCCTCCTACATAAAACACAGTTAACTGTGCTGTGTAAATAGCTTAAGGCTGTATGTAAATAGGTATATCAACATTCTGGCGATGTGTGTAGATTTGACGATTATTGTCCCATTTAATGTTGAAATTTACACAATTCAGATGACATGATGGACTAAAACGACTTGAGCAAGTCTTGCTCATTTCTTGTCCTGGCCACAAAAGTAATGATTTCTGGTGGTAATGCCTCTTCAAAGTGCAGTAAATATTTAACCAGTGCCCCTTAAATGTCCATAAATTAGAGACGAGCTACAGGGTTAAGTACAGAGCAGTACATTGGTATGAAAAAGATCTGACACAATATCTCAATCATTGACATCAAACCTTATAATTAAATAAACTGCGGAGTAGATAATACTATAAAGTGTCTATTAGAATCCATATGTACCTCCTTTATAGTCTGTAATTGTCTCCTAGACCTAAATCACTAATAACTTAGATCAGGAAGTTGTTTAATAGTCAATGAAGATGTCATGTACATGTTTATTAAAATCCCACATAGGTTATCAAATTCTAATATGTACCTCATAAAAGGTCTGTGATTGTATATTGTCATGGTATGGGAAATTATATCTACCCCGTCATATAAGAAGAACTTCCTCAAAGCTTCCCTTAACTGAGTACTCCCTCCAATAAGCCCATGCCTGGTAATAAGCCCACACATCTCTATAAGTCTATACATAAAATTGCCAACAAATGCTTTATCCTGTAATAAGCCCACTTCCTGTTTCTTAATCAGATATATTGTGTTGTTCTCTGGACTTATCACAGGAATAATACCGTTCTTCGTTCAACATGAAACGAAAATTAGGACAGAGAAAGTTAAACTTCTCAAATTTCAAAACTTAAATCATACAGATATGAAATTTCACACACAGGTCTAGCTAGCTGTGTAAGAGTGACGTTGCACTCCAAACAAAAATCCTGTATTTCTAAAAATTCAGTCACATTTCAAAGTGACCAAGGGTTTTTTGTCATTTTAAAACTGAAGTCCAGTTTTCTAAACAAGTACAGCACTGGTTGGATTTTAAGTTGCTATGAGTTGTAGGATTTTCAGATCACATCTGAAAAATCAAAGAGGTGAGCTACAACCTTTATGTCTGGGTTTGTATACAAATATATACTGTTGTTATCACCATCAACATGTAACACTACACTCCATGCGGTTACTATTGGGTTTTTTAAGTCATTAGATTGTTTGCCTGATAAGCTATCAACACACAACAACATGTGTCATAAGAGATTTCCTAATACACATCATACTACACCAACACAATGTTACATTTGAAAATTTCCTTTAATCTAAGGTATTATGTACTTTAAATCTGGGAAGAAAATCTTATCAAGTACACTTTCAGCATCCTGCTTTAATTATTGCTAACAAGAATGATTAATGATATAAAGGTAACTTGTTTCATATTAGTTGTAAAAAAATATAGGGTATACATGGAAGAGGGCACACTTATACATACTTGTGTGATGTATCATAAGAAAAGTTGTTTTTAACGAATAGAAATCATAAAAATAACAATTTTTAAACACATTTTCAACGCAAATGTTGTTTCAATTTGCATACACCAAACAAAAAATTTCTCTCGACAAAAACTGAAACTGAATAATATTAATTATTTTGTTTATCTTTAAAACTTCGCACCTGCCAAACACTACCACTTGTAAAATCAGCAATATTATTCCTCTGAAAATGTGAAGGACGAATATCTTTTCAAGGGAGATAAATCCATATTGGAAATGACTCTTTACTGATAGGTTGCTTTGTAATCTAAATACAAGGGAGAATACTCCATGTGATAAAAATAACCTCTGAAGTAGAACTCTTTACAATATGAAGTGGTACTCCTTAACACTGACGGAAGTATCATTGCGACCATTCAAAGGTCAATATTTGATGAAGTTGTAAATACCCACCTTATTTTCTGATCTACTCAACCCTTCTTCACCTATCTGACCGAGATTTACATTTTTCCTTATTTTAACAGATTTTAAGGCTGCTATTTCGGCCTCTCAGCAAACGACTCTTACTGAAATGCCGTCAGGTGTTTCTTATGTTTAATCTGATAATTAAGCCACGCCCACAAAATGTCTTGTAATCTGAAGTATTTACGACACGAGTCCTATACTGTTCATTGTTCAAATTCCAAACGTCACCATTTTATTACCAGATGTAATTAAAGAAGCTGTATTTAATCAACTGCTGATTCAGTACCATAAAATCTCTCTTAATGGTTTAACTTCCCAGTTCTTAAATCTCTTGTTGCTTCTGGGGACAGATTTTTGATCTGTTTAAAGGATTCCATCAAAACTTATCCTTTTAAAATTGAAAATATAAAGCACCACAATTGAGCACACCAGGCAAAAATGAAATTTCAACTCGTTGTTAAAACACGACAGCAAGAACGAATGAGATATCAAAACAGGAAAGACATCTTAATGAACCAAAAAGAATTCAGTATGAACCAAAGGGACATTATCAGGATCTTTAGCTGCCTTCTGATTGGTCAATATATAGACATGTATATATATAGGTTTTGTACTGGTGAACACCGTATGTTTGTCACTGTGGTGATAACTACTGTAAATATATGTAAAATGTCACCTTTATTAGACAAGTGAACTTCCTGTACACAAAACAGGAAAAAATATGACAGCCAAATAAAAAAAGTGTCAGCACTTTGGTGTTAAAAACGTATACAATGCAAATCAAAACAGACAACTATTAACGTCTGATGATAGATTTAGTTTCTCTTATAGGCAATGTATTGAACAAAAAAATGTCAGCACTTTACCTACCTATCACATTTATTCCACAATAAGCCTGAGTCTGGCAATAAGCCCATTCATATTTATTGCTGCTCAGTAGCATAAAAAACAAAAGTCCTGTAATAAGCCCATCCCCTACCTTAATGTCAGGCGTAATGTCATGGGTATCGAAACTTAATTCACAGCAGCAAGTTTCTGAATCGGTCTTGGTACTTTTTACAAGAAGACTTCATTATGTTAGAAGCATGCATGTTTTTTTTTCTCCTCAACAGATACACATGATCATTCAGCGTCACTGATTTGTCAGCTTGGGAGTTCCAGAGAAAATCCTTCCTGCGTGGTTAGACACGATTTAACTCAATTTACCCATTATCTGCCTGGAATCAAGAGCTTTTAGTCGGACCCAGACTATCAAGGCAAAAACGCACGTAACAAGATAGAAAAGATTATAAATAATGTACTTACTACAGGCTTATCTCCCCTGGCTTGTCAATGGGTGGGTTGTGGATGTTCGACTGAAACACAGAAAAAACAGCCAAAATTAGTATTGTGACGATTACACTGCACTGCTTACCACTTACACGAAATCAGGCACTGATATGAATACTACAAGTGTGCAAATATTTAAATAGAAAACAAGATACACAGATGTATTTAATTGTAAGAGATTTCCTTCCACTAGTTGCATCCATATTTAAGATCTGAATATGTTCCTTGTTTACTGCTATAACAATGGAAATCTGTCTTATCTGACCCCTTATTAATCTGAGAAGCCATTTAATTGAAAAAAATTTAAATGATAGTCACATATTTTTATAAAAAAAAAAAATACAAAATATGACCTATGTATTTCCACACAGAGTAATCTGACCAATGCTACTATTGTGTTACATAGGGAAATGAATAAGACAGGTCTCCCAATATTTATCTGCACTGCATAACCTGCACCATCAGTCTGGAGAATGAGAGGCTATGGTGATTAAATAAAGTACACTACATCAGATCAATAAATGCCAACTGATCAGTAAATGAGACAGAATGTCTTTTACTGTTTAGAAAATTCTGTCCAGTTGAAAAATTTGGGACAATTGGAACCAGCACTGACGCACTACGAGATGATTTGAACTCTCAGGTGATACTCAGAATTACTCCATCGTTTACATTTTTAAACAAATTCTTTTTTTTTTTTTATCTTTGTGGTAATTGAAATTGATTTTACCTGGTATATCACAAATTTACTTACTCATGAATATTGTGCTAATATTCCATTTTGATTCAATCACATTTAAGATAACATGCCCAGGTATTTGTATATCATAGGAAAAATATGCTTAATTTGATTGCATTACAAAAATAACACAAAGAAGACCAGCGTTTTATCAAAATAATTTCTGGCAAACATGTTATTTCAAAACACAAGACATGTAGTTTTCGAATTCACTTTTCAATCCTTTTGTCCACCTAATTTCAGCTTTCTTATGTAAATCCTGTGTAATGATTGTAATCACCTCTCCATACTGAATTCTGTGTACAATCAAATGTTATGGTAACTGACAATAAGCCCATAACTAACAATAAGCAAACATCCATTAATTCAAGGCAAACATGCATTCCTTTCACAATCAATTTCTTGCAAAAATCCATGTACTCTACTCAAAAGACAAAAACCTTGCATGCAAAGAGAAACACATTTATCAAACTTCTGCATGAAATCTGAGGCAATATTCATAAAATTTATCTGTGCTGAAAGAAATTTTTTTACTATTACATTGATATTTCATTAAATTAAAAATTTAATTGTACTTGTCAATGTGAAGATGTATCAGCTAAAATGAAAACTGAAAAAAAATTCATAACGCACTGACAGACATGACGATATTTGGAATACTTGTACCGGTATCTGCAAATATCAAAACATGTATTTCATTTTGTATATTCGAACGGATCCTTTTGACCTTTTTGTTTGACTTTATGTCAGAAATGAAAAAGGTCACATGATAACGACAATAAAAAACCAATCTATATCAGACATCACTGAACAAAGAAGATAAAAAGTATATGCATACAAACCACTTTCCATTTTACCTCTATTCAGAAAATTCCCAGCGATCAGATTTTAAAAGCTTTGCTACCAACAAGAATATCACCTACATTTATACATGCATTGCTCCTAGGTAGCACTTAGTTATGAAAACACACTCAATAGCGCAGCTCTCATGATTCAAGGACACCTGTTAATGGACCAAGGCGACCAGCCACACCAAGCCTACATAAAGAAACTTGTGTAGCATCACTAAACCAAGCAAATAGTTCGGCAAAATAGGCTTCTAAATGCTGACCTAACCTAAACCATTCTGGTGACTCAGGAAGTCAGGTGAAGCACTGAAATAATTTTATTTTGTCATTGGGGGGATTTAGGTGTACAACAATGACCCCTTTTTGTAGTATGCTTGTTTAAGTAAATTAATAATGTAGTTCAAAATTTACCTTGAATAAAATATATCTACCATTGGCAGTTCATATCTGTCATTTTCAATGTATATTTTATAATCAGTCAATTTTGCGATCTACCCATTAATGTTTGAATGAATAAACTTCCAAGGGAAGTAACTCTTAAACAATTAAAAAAAGAAATTACTGGTAGTAATTTATCGAAAACAGAAACAGTAAGTTGTGAAATGGAACTCTTCTCCAGAAATGTAAATAGTGCAGTGTCACACTCTACCTTAAGTTAATATGTACTGTGACAACAGGCTGCCGGGGTGTGCCTGTTCAAACAGAGAGTGTAAAGTAATGATACCCTGTAATGTTGGATCTGTTTGAGGTACATGTTGTTTACTGCAAAGATATTCAACTCTGATGTAATACAGCAAGTTAAACTCAAACATGGCTCTGATTTGCATTTCACCATTGTCATGATGTATAATATAGAATTGAAATTTTCTTGTTATTTTAACATCAACCTACAACAAAAAGCCAAACTGAAGTAAAATGCAAACCATTTGCCTAGAAAAATAAAAACCAGCAATTTGGAGAAAACCATCAAAAAAAGAAAAGTAAATAAGAATATTTGAGCAACAGAATTTCAGAAATCAAATTTTGGAAAAATCAATGAAAATAAATTTTATCAAGATAAAAAACAAAATAAATTAGGGATGGAACACTTTGAACTGAGCAAAATTGTGAAAACAGTTATATACAAAAAATTTGCATCTAGTACCTATATAACACAGAACACTTCAGAAAAAATTTTGGCTCCAGTCAACTTGTCGGTTTCACAAATTTTTTTTAGTTATGGAAACTTATCCTAAAAAAAAAAGGGAATCCAGCTGCATCTTGAATTATTCTGAATTTACTCTCTTCAGGAAGCAAAGAAATAGTGTACTGGCTGACTTACCTGAATGCAGGCTAGCCAGACAAGTAAGGAAGAAATGGCGTTATTGATGGGTCTAACTTTGTAACCTAATGTTCATATGATACAAAAGCTGAGATAATCGGAGTCATCTGCGGGACACAGATGTGACTTTAAGGATCAATACAAGACCAAGACGGAGCTTATTCGTAATAATCTATATATAAATTATATCTTTCATACCGTACAACATCCTCTGTGAATAGTTTATTAGTCTCTAAACGTTATTTATATATAAACAACGAACATAATTTCATGATTGGTAAATGGATATCAAGGGAAAATTTTCCGTGAGAAAAATATCAGTACTGAAGTTATCTTAATAATAAAAACCATTGAGATAGATTTCTTTGGTTTAATTGAACAATTAAAAATCCACCGATGAGAATGGCTGATAGATCACAAACAGACAGCTTGTGAAGAATTGTGCGATATGGTTGAAATACACCAATGTAATTAGATTAAAATAGGATAGAAAATACAATATCATGATGGAATTATTCCTATTTGTGTGAGTGTACAAAAGGCAAGATAATGTGCCGATATTAGAGTGTTAGGGTACCACCAACTGCGGACCAATGGGGACGGTACAAAATTACAGGGATGTGTGGACAAGAGATTAAAGTTACGTTACACATCAGCATCAGTAACAAAGCCGCAGAGTCTACTGGTAGTAAAAAGATGGACACAACAATACAATACAATACATCTACCTTAGCTTTCAGGGGCTTTCTAGCCCTTTTGTCCAGGGCGGCCGAGTTGACAGAGTAAGACCTGAGGCGTCCTGAAACCTGTCCATGCAGTAAAACACAACGGATAAACAGCTAGCTATTGACATTCGAGAATACAAAAAAAAAAAAAAAACCCAAAACAATAATGTAAAATGCAGGATGCAGAAATTCACTTCACCACCAGGTGAGATGAAATCTCGTTAGATTCAGGTGAGAATCACAACTCGTTAATCACAATGACTAAGTTGTTCTGAACATTTCATAAAGAAGAGCATGCAGCTGATTCAGCGTCCAGTATTGTTTGTTGTTTCATATCCGGTGGGTACCCCAAGCAGCCATGTTGTGCGTCCTTCGGTGTTCCTGGTGTGTCTACCTGAAGACACACTGTAAAACCACAGCTACTTATGTCTATGTACTTACATGCGAGTTTGGTAATCTAATTTACAGCTTACCTACTCGAGTGCAATCTTGAGTATCGGGTCTTAAGTGGACACCTCCGTGTAGAAAATAAAACTTGTCATCATTGCCATAGGCTACCCCTAGAGTACCCCATACAAAATAAACACACACAGTCGTCGCAGAATCAATAACCAGGTGTATTGATTAGCGTAGTCTGTAGCCAGGTGTCTGAACGTGTGTACTTACCTGGCTGTATCTCGTTATCTTACCTGGAGAGATACACACAGCCTATCACTAGAAGATAATGATCTAATACAGACTTGTGTAGACCCCCCTCCCCCAAACCAAGCCTATTCTGTCCTTAATGTTACACATCCCTCCCCCCTCCATCCATATCTCAATTGTTACGTTCTTCTTCATTTCAAAACCACCTGTCATGTCCACCCCATCTGAAGTGTAAGATTTGATCCTTATTTACTTTTTTTCCCTCGGCTGGTTATCTCATTTCGTTTATCACGGAGGAAACAGGTACTTAAGAAAACGTGACTGTCATATTATGATAAGACCCCATCATTTGCCAGGTTAAACCAATAGGCGTGATCTACATCAATAACCCAAACGCTTTCTGCCCAGATTTCCTAAGGATAAATCAATTTTTACCGATACATCAGGATATTAAACGCGTCGGTACCAGATCTCAAGCCAGGTACCAAGCCTCACATTTAATCAGCATAAAAGTGTTGTTTTGTCATGGTTACTTGATATGGAAGCAGGACTAATGACAGCCAGGGTTTCAAACTGAGACGACCATCAAGAGATATTACAACCATATTGTGTATATCTAATAATTCTTCTGATAGGATATTGCTGGTATATACAATATGTATTCACTAATGACAATATTTATTTATCACAATGACTTTGATCACTGCGGAACCTATTTTTTTTTTTTTTTACATCACTCAAGCAGTAATTACTTGTCATAAGGAAAAGCAGATTGCATATTGGAGAATGTTTTAAACGATTCTGTAATCTAGGTTAGGTGGACTTTGCTTCATTGCTCTTTATTTTCAATCCTGTTGGGTTTGTTCAGATTAATTTTAAAGTTATTACTACAAAAAACTTGAGAGACTTGTAGTGGAAATTTATACCATGCTTACGAAGTGTTGTCCATGCATGTGCACGCATTGATATTGACAGAGCAAACATGCACAGCATTTCTCTGTCAGACCCTGCATGTGAACAAAAATCAAACATGCTTTCAAATATCCATACACCAATAACTAAATTACATCAACAAATTCATTTTCACAAAGTTTTTACATTATAATATCGAAAAATGTAAAATCTTACCGATTTTGATTCTTGAAATGCTATAGATGAGAAGCCAGGTTCGTAGTCGACAATACTTCGAGGCTGATTACGATATACTTCAATCTTAGATCGTACATTAGGTGGAGACCATTCGCTGTGAATTAACAAAAACTTAAAATCAAAATAGGAAAATACAAGGACAGCTGTTACATTTTCGGGGTCAATCCTGATCAATAAAGTTATGTGTATTATAGGAACGTCTTTGCCAACATTGACCGTGATCACAGATGCACATAATCTCATTTGATCAGTTGTAATGATACTGGCTCTGTTTCACACCAAACAGACCACACAGTGTTGTCACAGGTGTGAACATGTAATGATTATTTTTAACTTCTATTTCTACCTATTATCATCATTTAATATCCTGCTGGTCCATGTTTACTCATAAAAACATAAAAATTATCCTCAACCATTATAGAAGCAGACATCAAAGGGAATTTTACAACATGCCTTAACATACAAATTATAAAGTGATATTTCATTTTCGGCTCCTTAGAAATAACAGTAACAACAATTTAACATTTACTTACGAATTAGATAGATAAATATGGTATGTACTGTTTGTCAGAGTTATACCCTTGGGTGAACATATATTTTCCAATATTATCGATTTTGATAATTTTACAAGCAAAACACTGATGCCATCATATTTCATTGTAGGCACAGCAGGATGAAATTCAGTGTGTTTAGGGCCTGCTGGGTTATAATAAATAACAATCAGCTGTTACATCTTCAGGGTAATAGAGGAGAGTGCAATAAGAATTCCAATAGATCATCATATATCTTTTTGTAAAAGGTTCTGGATAAAACAGGTGCTCTCAAAACTCCACACTGGTTCCGTTTAGGTAGGTTTCCTGATTACACAATGTTTAACTAACACAGCTTATTATTGAAATAAACATATACTCAGTTAATTTCTGGCTAATAGGTAAAATAATTTAATTAACACAGCTTATTATTGAAATAAACATATAATCAGTTAATTTCTGGGTAATAGGTAAAATGATAAGAGAATAACACATGCTCTTGGTGATGTGTGCGACCATCCCCATCTCTGTCACCCACACACGTACAAATGTGTATACACCCATTCAGGACATGGAAATGTATGGGGTCACCTACCCAACCATGTGGGTACTTCCCAGGTAATTCGGCTTCCTCTCACCTCAAGATTTAACGCATGAGTGATTGATGTAAGTTTAAAACATAATGAAGCCCAGTTGAACTTTACCAGTTTATCTCTATCGGAAAGCAAGAGTGTTGGATTCTGTAGTGAGTTCTGGAGTGAGTTGGATTCTGGAGTAAGCAAGTAGGATTCTGGAGTGAGTGAGTTGGATTCTGGAGTAAGCAAGTAGGATTCTGGAGTGAGTGAGTTGGATTCTGGAGTAAGCAAGTAGGATTCTGGAGTGAGTGAGTTGGATTCTGGAGTAAGCAAGTAGGATTCTGGAGTGAGTGAGTTGGATTCTGGATTCTGAAGCGAGTGAGTTGGATTCTGGATTCTGGAGTGAGTTTGATTCTGGAGTGAATGAGTGAATTAGATTCTGGAGTGAGTGAGTTGGATTCTGGATTGAGTGAGTGAATTAGATTCTGGAGTGAGTGAGTTGGATTCTGGATTGAGTGAGTGAATTAGATTCTGGAGTGAGTGAGTTGGATTCTGGATTCTGGAGTGAGTTGGATTCTGGAGTGAGAGAGTTGAATTCTGAAGTGAGTAGAATTTTGGATTCTGAGTGAGTTGGATTCTGAAGTAAGTAGAATTTTGGATTCTGGAGTGAGTTGGATTCTGGATTTTGGAGTGAGTTGAATTCTGGCGTGAGTGAGTTAGATTCTGGAGTGAGTGAGTTAGATTCTGGAGAGAGTTGAATTTTTAATTCTGTAGTGAGTTGGATTCTGGATTCAGGAGTGAGCTGGATTCTGGAGTGAGTTGGATTCTGGAGTGAGTTGGATTCTTGAGTAAAGTTTTTGTTTTATAAAACCTATATATTATATATATATTTAAAACAAATCAACTTTGACAATGATTTTTCCTTAGCTTCTTATTTCAATCCTCTATATTTTTGTGCTTTCATATCTATACCTAATGTTACATATCAGATCTATATCATTGTACAAAGGATCATTTACTTACCCGGTACTTAGCGAACAGAATACAACCTTCTCATGGTTTGTTTACAAATTTGCTACTAGTCCTGGTAACGTTTATCAAATTTTATCGTAACAATCAGAGGTCAAAGGTTATCTGTAACGTTCCTCTAACTGATCAAGGTCCCAAGATATCACACAAAGTAGATCCGATTTCCTTACTTTAAACTTGGAAAAACTACATTTGTTGTGTTAGATAGAAAAGATATATTTATTGACTTGCAAACGCAAGTGTATGTTCCATCCTCACACAAGCTACATTTTTTACCAAAAAAAAAATGATAATTTTTATTTCAAATTTTATTGATAATATGTTACTGAAATAATTTCAAACAAATTATACTGTACTTTCACAATCACACCATACCGTAGCACTCGGGTAACTGTTCTCATAACATGGGCACTGATTGTTACAGGAAGTAATATCTTTATAAATAACTGTAACATTTATAACCTATTTATCCTTTAATAAGCCCATATGAGTTCAAGAAACTTACAAAAGACTCTTAAGTCGGATGATGGGTTTATCGCACAATAATGATACAGTATACCTTGATCAATTTTACAAAACACCAAAAGTTATGAGTGGGCTTATTACCACACATGGGCTTATTACTGGATAAATACAGTAAATCTTCACACCCCAATGCAACAATTTATTACTATTGATGCTTTCAGTGAATTTGACATACAAGTCAATTTTCATTAAATATGGTCACAGTCGATACCTAAATGTGTGCTTTCAATAATTGATGCACTGTACCGTAACGTTACGCCTCGGTTTAGCGAGTAAATCAATTAGATAGACAGCCAATCACCTCCTTGTTTACTTATTAACCTAGATATCAACAAAGGTTGAATAACATATGAACCCTAACTCCCATGGAAAGCTATAATGAATATAGGTCTTCTTTCTAACCAGGACCAAGTCAATAATGGCAAAAGAGAAAGAAGGACAGATCATTCAAACTTCAAAGTGTGTTTTTTTTTATATTTTAGGTAAAGAATCCAACATTTCTTACACTGACAAATCATTTCTTGTTAAATACAAATGATTTCCACTACAGTCATAAAATGATAGTAATTATAGATTGCTATAATCCAGTCAGAACAAGAAAACATATATATATTGGAACTCTTCTTTGCTGGAAGACAGAGAAAGAGCATAAGGACTATCTACCTTAACACCTGTATAGTTTCAAGATCTAATATTGCTTAATTTTCAGCTACCTTGTTTCCAGAAAACATTTGAATTTTTGTTATGAAAGAAATAATTTGATGCTAAACCAGTTGTAAATCTTAAACACAATGAAATGAACACCATGCTGTTAGAGAACAGGGCTGATTTTTATGATTTAAATGACAGATGAAAAAATAAACAACAACTTGAGTTAATATGTAGGTATATGTATATAATTAATCCTGTATATGTATATACACATGTAGGTATATAGAATCTGTTTGTACATAAGAAAATAAACAAATATGAAGGCATATCACAATATATGTGATAAAAACAAGGAAAACAGGAAGAAAGAAGATAAATACAACTTCAACAACCAGCCAAAGATGGAATATGACCTACTCAAGATATTTGAAGAATTCCTGTAAATCTTCAGGGATTTCGTAATCTCTGTAAAACATAATGGTAATGTATGCATGTATATAAGATACAGACTTCTTCATCAGCCAACGACTGCTGCCAGGAACATTCATCAAGATTCGCTAAATTGCATTAAATCCAGAAACATTTAGCTAAGCTTTCTATGGCATTGTCAAAGCCAATCACAATTAAGTGTGATTTTCTAACATTAGAACTATTAGGTTCATAATTTTACAATCATTTATTTCATTATCACATGTTTCATGCACAAATTTTTAAATGATCAATTTAACCAAAAAAAAAAACAAAAAAAACAAAAAAACTTTAATCTTTTTTTTTAATACAAATGTATTTATACATTTTTTCAACTTTTTCTATATGACAGTGTTGTACTTATGACCAACAAAATATATCAAGTTCACTCCGATTATTCTTTGAATGAAAAAGTATAAATGATTCTACTTTCTGTTACTAAATATCTTCATACACTTCATTATGTAAAAATCAAACAGCCAAGCATCAACTATAGAATAACATGCTGACAAAAGACTGGTATTATAACAACAACCACATGCAGGAATCAATAACATCCCAACTTTCAGGATAAAAACTGAGAAAAAAAACTGTTTGTGCAACAACTGTCAAATCATTCACGTGAGAAAAAAAGACCATGCAAATCAAGACAGGCATCCAGCTGTCATATAAAGGGAGATAACAAAGTCATCCAGCTACCATATAAAGGGAGACAACAATGTCAATATATAGAAGAAAGGATGGGACATAACCCATCCAAACACAACAAAAATGTTTCTCCTAGTTTTTGTCACATGATTCAGGAATATGTCTTATTTATCAATGCTGCCTTCATCTATTATCAGTTTGTGCTGATTACTCATAAACATAAACTGAAAATATATTCATATTTTCCAAAACAAACAGATACTCCAAAACAGCTGATGATCAATTTATACTCTCAAAATTTTTTGTATATTAAAAAATATATCAGTTGACCTTTCCATCAATGTAGTTTCAGAATACCCAGAGAATTGAGTTCCTACAACTGGACATTCACCATCAAAACTGAGTCCTTGCTTAATGTATCTTATTTGACAGAAAAATGGAATTAATTAAATCCAATGAATTTTAATCTATAAATTCTACTATACTAGCATAAAGTTTGAACATTGTTTTGATTTCGTTGAGTTTTTATAAACAGCTCTGATGTAATGAAAGTACAAACAGGGACTCTCCTAGCAATGCATGACCAAGCTTTTCAGTGACTGCTATATATTTAAGAAATGAAGATCAAAACTGATAATTTCTATAAAATCAACAGAAAATTCACTACAAAACAAAACGAGGAAATTTCTGTACAACATTAACACATTGTAACAGAACTGAATAATGAAATTAAAATGATTATGAAAAGATGTTATCATGGTTGATGTGGAAGTGAAGACAGTGGTCATTAGAAGATCTAGAATCTGACCATTTCACACCAGATGATAGAGTGTTTTCCTTTAACTCTATTTGTGAAATTGTTTAATAGTCGGTGTGATCTTTGTGAGAAGTAATGAACACTATTTTGATAATGGAGGATTAAGATGTAGGGGAACTTAACTCCTTCTGGATTGACTTTATTGATGATAACCATGCCTTATGTAACATTAGATTGGATGGTTGGTGTCACACTCTCAAAAGTACATATACATAAAACAATATCATGAATGCATTTCCAATAAAACTGCTACAAGTTTCATCCACATTGAAAGTGCTATAGGATTCACCACTCTCATAACTACTGAAGGTTTCACCACTCCCATAACTGCTAAAGGTTTCACCACTCCCATAACTGCTAAAGGTTTCACCACTCCCATAACTGCTAAAGGTTTCACCACTCCCATAACTGCTAAAGGTTTCACCACTCCCATAACTGCTAAAGGTTTCATCACTCCCCATAACTGCTAAAGGTTTCACCACTCCCATAACTACTTAAGGTTTCATCACTTCCATAACTGCTAAAGGTTTCATCACCCTCATAACTGCTAAAGGTTTCACCACTCCCATAACTGCTAAAGGTTTCACCACTCCCATAACTGCTAAAGGTTTCACCACTCCCATAACTACTAAAGATTTCACCACTCCCATAACTACTAAAGATTTCACCACTCCCATAACTACTAAAGGTTTCACCATTCCCATAACTGTTAAAGGTTTCACCATTCCCATAACTGTTAAAGGTTTCATCACTCCCGTAACTGCTAAAGGTTTCACCACTCCTATAATTGCTAAAGGTTTCATCAAACTCATTACTGCTAAAGGTTTCATCAAACTCATTACTGCTAAAGGTTTCATCACTCCCATAACTGCTAAAGGTTTCATCACTCCCCATAACTGCTAAAGGTTTCACCACTCCCATAACTGCTAAAGGTTTCATCACTCCCCATAACTACTAAAGGTTTCATCACTCCCATAACTGCTAAAGGTTTCATCACTCCCCATAACTGCTAAAGGTTTCATCACTCCCCATAACTGCTAAAGGTTTCACCACTCCCATAACTGCTAAAGTTTTCATCACTCCCATAACTACTTCTGTAACTGTTCATAACTGCAAGAACTGTTGTAGGTTTCACTAACTTATTCAAACAACTGGCTGCAATTGATATTGGTGACAAATTTCAATTTCCAACATTTAATATTATCAATTGAAATTATGTAAGAACACCAATGTAACCGAGGATATTAGGAAAGAGGATATAAACAAGAATCAAAGGAAACATTGCAGTTAGTTTGGATATTTCTATAACAACATATGTGAAGAAAATTTAGTTCCTGAGGTAAAATCAATACAGTTTTTGTTTATTTTGATATTGTGTATGTGACAACATTCAGGAATATAAACAATTCTAACACAAGTGTGTTATGCAACAAACATTTCAGGACCATGCAGTGCATGACTCGGGATTTTTAAAAGGTGGTAAACGACATGCGACTACATGTCGTCTGTCTGTATACCTATAGCCAAACAGACTTATACTCACACAGACCGCTTGTCTCTGGATGTATGAGACGACGTGGAACTGGACGGACTAAGTGGACCGTTGCTACGACTCCCAGTGTCCTGGGACTTGGCTGTAACGTAAAGCAAAGACAAGATTAATCAGTAATCAAACAAATTTTATATTCTTCATCAAGCAGAGATATTATATATTATTTCTAAGTGCTGCTGAACAAATTTATTCCAGTGATAAAGATACATTTCTATATTCTGTTATTGTGATTCAGACGTATCAGATTTCCTGATAGGCTAAATACCTTTTCATCAAAGTCGGGGGTAGACTTATTACAAAACTATTATATAGCATTTTTACTTATTCTAATGAACAGCAGTAGTGTGTTTACTACCAGACAACACTTATCAGTCTTAACATTGTCAGTTAAACACAGAACTTGCTCATAACACTGGAATCTTGTTGAAAGATCCAGTTTATTTTAATGATCTGGGGAAATCTCTTTCCTTCACACAGCTGATGTATTAAAAACATTTCATTTGGTCCTTTGGACCAGGTGAGCCAAAAAAAAAAAAAACCCACTATAAAACTAGACACTACTTATGATATCAATGACTTACCTGGATTCGTTAGCTGCTCAATACGGCTCTGGACACTTGGAGACTTTTCTTTGGACTCAATGGATGTTCGACTAGACTCTGACGCAGCTCTTTTAAATGAAGGTTCTCCCGTAAATTTACTATATGAAAATGAGGATTCACTTGTGGACCTATTATCCTGATTATGTTTGTTGACCATAGTCTCTGTCCTTGGTGAAAAATCTGTCTTAGGTTTATTTCCTACTGGGGAAAAGTCTGTATTTTGTTTATTTCCTACAGGAGAAAAGTCTGTTTTTTGTTTATTTCCTACAGGGGAGAAATCAGTTTTTGATTTATTTCCTACAGGGGAGAAATCTGTTCTTGATCTATTTCCTACAGGGGAGAAATCAGTTCTTGACTGATTTCCAGCTGGGGAGTAATCTGTTTTTGATCTACTTCCAACTGGGGAGTATTCATTTCTTGATTGATTTCCAACTGGGGAGAAATCAGTTCTCGATTGATTTCCCACTGGGGAGTAATCTGTTCTTGGTTTACTTCCAGCTGGGGAGAACTCAGTTCTTGGTTTGTGCACAACTCCGGTGGATTCACCTTGTGGTTTTTCCTGTTTGCTTGATTGTTCAATTCGTTGTTTGTGAGAATCAACTTTAGATTGATGTACATGTTCTATTAAAACAAAACAAAAAGGTCATTATCATACAAAACACCGGACAATTACACAAACGCTGTCTCTATATATCCTGAGAGTTTATGCTCAGTTTACATAGGAAAGGAATACTTTGCTGGAGAAAGATGTACATGTAGATTAAACACAACCAACTTGAATTATATTGCTACCAATCTTATCTAACTAGATTCCTTCACTTTAAAAACTGTTTATGTGATTTCAACGAAACTGACTCCAAATTTACTTCAAGTTCAGGAATTTAACAAGGACAATAGAAATATCGGTGAAACTGATGAGTGATGCCTAAGAGCAAATTTTAACAAAAAGGAATTTTTCTGTAACTAAGGGGTTTCAGGCACTGAATTCAGTACACAGTACATCTTCTTAGCATGACTAATGTATACACTGAGTTTCATGATCCTTGCTTGCTTAACTGTGGGCAAAGTTACGCCCGTACACTAGAGAATGGACAGAAAGATGAACAGACAGATGGACAAAGTGGCGACTATATTCTCCCCTGAAAATTTTCCAGTAGTAAAAAAATTATCCTTTTTGAATTAACATCTAATGTTTTGAGAACGGTTATTTCCCTGCATTAAAACCAACCTTCTTTCTGTGATGAATTTTCATCCGCACTGTGTGTCGGCTTAACATAACCAGTTGTTCCTGTAAGCAAAAATCATATATCCTAAAAATGTTCCAAAATAAAACAGCAGGAGTGAATTCCTTCTATAACATCACAGATATATCAACCATGATTGACTTTCAAATGATCAATATAACTGATTGAAATCTGAAATAATCTTTTGCAGTAAACAATTTGGCAATGTGCCTATTTCTTAGTATATACAAAAACTGTCTCTGTAAAATCATGTCATTACCATTTTCAGAGAAGCCAATGACTAGTAGACTAGCTTCACAAGAACGAAGCAATATTTGCCTTATATGCTAAAATCAACTTTTATTACAGTAGGTCTCTAAGTTATCAACATCAACTTTAAATCATGTGTCATGTTCCTGATTTTGTATGTGTACAATTCAAAAACAAAAAAAACTGTATAAGTAAAAGCATATAGAGATTGTATTTAAATGAATGAATGAATGAATGAATGAATGAATGAATGAATGAACCATGTATTGAACAAATAAAAATCTACAAATAAACAAATAAATCAATCAAAACTCAAAATTTGTTGCTTTAGAAGATACAAGTATATCCTGGTCTGCAATTAAACTGCAAATGGAAATAAAACATTGTTTATTAGCAGAACAGAAAACCAGAAACGTCCATTAAGTAATTCAGGAAAGGGGAGGTAAATCATGAGGATTTCAAGGAGAGATAATGATACAAGGTCAGCTGAACTTAAGCCAATATTGTACTGATTTTTACCCATGAGGAAGTTATTGTGTGGTGTAATCAGATATACTTGTGCTATGGAAGAACAGAGTGCAAATTATTAATGTTTATTTCAAGAGAGCTTTCATGTTGATTTCCAATTTGAAATTTAAAAAAAATGGTAAAGACATCAGAGAGATAATATATAATTTGTATATTAATATTTATTGAAGAATATGATGTTGTATCAATATTAACAAGTTTTCCAAAGAGATATGTGAATTCATTAAAATGTGCAGTTTTCTAAGTCACAGTAAACATACTCAGAATAAGACTGGATCCGATATCGACATGGCAATGTTTGTTAGTTTGTTTGTTTGGGATTTTACACCTGGCAAAATTTTGACAGAAAGGGAGAAATCATGACTGGCATAAGTGGGATCCAAGTCAATGTGGTAGAAGCAAGCATATAGGATATATAATCTTATCTTAATCTTATCAAAATGGTAAAATAAAAATTAAGAAATGATAGTTAATTTGCAAATCAACAAACCAAACTGAGGCAGAATGCGTATGTGTACAAGATGAGCACATCAACCTGGGTGAACAAATTTTTATGCAAAGAAATCAAAGGCTTGAGTGTATACAGGTATGGGAAATATGCTGGGATGTGTATAGTTGTAGATTGTTCACTTGGTGAATCAGAACTGGGTACGGAGGCTGAGAAGTTGATATTAACCTGCTTCCCGTAACCACGCCTCCAGGTCGGCAATTTCAAGAGAGTCTGGAAATAAAATGGTTCACTTGATGTTCTTCACTTTCTTGTGTCAAGTATTATGAAAAAGTTGCAAAACCTGGTTCAGTTGATAACGTAGACAGAAAAAGGGCTCATCATTTCTTCTTTATTACAAATCAAGCAGTTCATTTAAGGAGTCAAAGAAAATTGACTAATTTTGTGTAAAATAACTAGAATTGTTAGACAACAATTAACAATGAGGGAATCAGTTTTAAACATGAACACAAGTATTTGATAAGTGTCTAATGATCTCTTATGAACAGATGGCACCAGTGGGAATGACAAAAATTGTGAAATAGACATATTTCTGATAATGCAGGTTTTGGGACATTGATGATTAGATAACTAAACTGACAGGATCTGAGATTTCAAAGATAATTTTTGTATCAGAATGTACAGATTTCTAAAGAGAAAAAATAAAATTTATTTAACACATTGAAGCTAAAGAGTCAACAACATTCATTTTCCCTTGTTTGACCAAGTAACCATGCTGGTGGTATGAAATAGTTTGAATTGATGTTTGTAAAATAGAAAATATGATTCACTTAGCACATTAGCAAAGATAAAATGGGATCCTGATGGAAGAGAATTAAATATTAAAACCGTTCAGCATCACATGCTGCCATCCGAGAATGCTTTTCCATAGCGTTAGAATATAAATGGGTCTCAAAGTCCCCTGTGTGACTAGGCTACCATCAGTGGTTCTAAAGTATATCAATATAGTGTATATAAACAATAGAATATTCATAGTTGAGTAGTGGCAAGCCTATTTCATGTTTCAACTTGTAATTTCAAAATTGAAAAAAATTGTTGATAAAGAATGAGATATTGATCATATTATTTTTAGATATATAAAAGATATTCATATCTGATGTTATGTTTTATTTATTGAATTTTTTTATGGATTCATATAAATTTTATCTTGAACCATGGTTCTTTAAAAATGCATTTGTATACAAAGAATGCCATATTGATATATTTTGTTTTAGTTTTAAGGTTGCAAAACAAAGAATTTTTTTTCACATTGTAGTGAAAATAGCATTTGTTTTACATACAAAAATGGCTAAAGTCACAGACAGCAAAATCAAGTACCCCGGTATTAATTTCGAATTTTTGAAAGTCAGCAAACTTTCCAGTAAATTAGCTGGTGGTGTTAATAAACAGTAATTACGATCGTAAGAGCCTTTAAAACCTTTTTAAAAAGATTGACCTCCGACCTCGCAGCGCCTAGTTTGTATTGATTGTACACAAATGATTTGTGTCACGCTATATTGTTTAAAAGACAGTCAGAAGAACTTGGTATACAAATTTTAGACATGTGAGATATTTTGGTATCAATACGTCTTTTAAGTACAACAATACACCTTAATATATTACAACACAAAAACACAACAATTCTGTACCAGCTAGCTCAACAGGGACTAGGTAAACCAGCACAATGGTATGTTATAGTGCCTACATTTAAACACAAATTTAAATATTCTACTAGTAAAGAGCAACTCCAAACCTAAAAACAGTACATTTCAAAACTATGTCCACTGGGACACAACATTTTTCATTTGATTCTAAAATAACCTTACTTAATATATATATGTTTCTTTTTTCAATGGCACCTTCGTTTTCCATTTGGTCTGTATGCATACTCAATATGCTGAAGGTTGCCCTACGCCATTATACAGTGCAATCAATACCTACACACCTGGGGTGAAGGTAAAATGGACAGGTGACTGTGGGAACCTATGCTTATTTACTTACCTGTAGAACCTTTGCTTATTTACTTACCTGTAGTGGCAATCAATAAAACGTCTCCATAAATACAATTAAAACAATAACTGACACTTTTTACCTGAGTCGCAGCAAAAAAAAAAAAAAAAACTCCAGCAAAAATAAAAAAATCAGCACCAGTTTTTTTCCTTCTTAAAAACAAGATCTGGTAATTGATAATTGCTTCTTTTGAACATTTGGAGCTATTTCTATTTGACCAGTGGTCAGCTAATGACCAGCAGTGTGTATAGGGTTCTCACCTGCTTTGCGGTGTCCTGTGTGAAGACTTCTGTACATTTGTTTGTACCAATCATGCTGCTTTTCTTCATCCACATTCTGAAAATAAAAATGTCATTCAAATTCTGCATCAAGCATTGAAAGTGATTATTGTTTTCATAATACCAGGCTTTCCAAGTCACAGCAAAGCTATAATCAAATTCTTCACAAAAATGTTGGCCATAGTACCGTGCCAAACAAACCATGTTATTTCTATTTCAAATGCCTGAAGATAATTGAAGATTCTCAATGTAAACAGTAGTTTTCCCATTAAAATATATTCTTGAAATGTAACAGCTGTCCTTGACCTTGAGCAGACCACCTTCAGAAGGACCTAAGCCCTATATCACCTACCATTCTAAAGGACAGAGGCATGCCTTTCTCGTCCACTGGCCCAATACCCTCGTATTTGACAGGCCGTTTTTCCACTGGTGATTTCTGATCCGAGTACGAATCATCCTCATTCTTCGACTGGTTTAGGTATGCGGCCCCCTTTGGGATCTGCCCCTCTGTAACAACAGAAATGGTTCCTTCATATCAAACAAACATATTTCAAACGTTTAATTCAATTTATCATTGGGTTTGAAATCTTCTTCACATACGAGCATCACAAATTATAAGCAATAATATAATTTTTTCGCTGCAAATTCATTCGAAATGACTGACAGGCTACCACAGTAGAAATTTGACAGTGAAAATTTCTTCATATCGTATTGGTTAAATCATAAATTGACAACCTTACCATTGTACATCAATGAACTAGTTCCTGACAATCCTACCAGTTTACATACAGGGACTAGTTCTGATCAAATATGCAGATGTTTTTACAAAACTACATTACAGCAACACTTCCATATCAATAGCTCTATGTCTAATTATTGAGTATTTCAAAAACAAGTGCCATTATTTGATCTGAATATGACTTTACAGTAGCGACCATGCAGGCAACAGTGTAAACACAGAATAGGCCAACATCAGGATACCCAGATTCAAGCCTTTATTTTCCAATAAAATTCATAATTATCTTTAATCTTTAGAAAACTATGAAAAAAAAACCAAAAAATACAAATAAAAAGACTGGTATTTATCAATTGCCATATTCCAGAACCTGATACAAGTTAGGTCCACAGGAAAATTGCTGCCAAAGTATTTCTAGAACCAATTGGAAACTTTATTTTTTCATATGCTAAACAATGCATCTGAATTATAAGAGTAACACAGCATTTCTGATTCTAAATTAAAAATATTTTTAGGATTTCAAATATAATGTAAGAATTCAGATTTTAATCACAACACTGAAGAAGTTGGAATTGAAAGCCAAATATATCTTTTCGCTGGATATATTTAAACTGCACCCGATTCCCAGATACTGCTGGTGACTCATACGACCTGAACAAATGTCAGCCTTAAGTAAACAGACTGCATTGTAATGTAATAACAGTACTGTAAGGCAAGTACCGTCAATTTGTCCTTGAAATCTAAAGATCAGGTTTTTAAAACGAAACTTTAAATCTTTATTCCTACAAAACGATATAATTTCTATCCAAGAAAAACTGAAATCAATGAAAATGTGTAAGGAAGCATTTACTGAAAGTAACACTATATATCTGTTAGAAGGAAATCTTTCCTCACCACTAGTTCTGCAATAGTCTGTTTCTTCAGTCTACATTTCTGTCAGTAGTGAGAACATGACAATTTGCTTCGATGAAAACTCACTAATCATGTCTTTAGTTTCAACGATTATCTTATACTTTTTAAAAATTTCAACTGAACGTCAAGGAGTGTTCAAGGAAGCTTGGTATTGATAGGAAAAGCGTGGCACTCTGAGGAAAATTCTGGTAATATAATGCACACAAACCAGTCTACCATTAATTTGGTCTTAACCTGAAAGATGAATGAACTTAACCAGGCAAATATATAAATATATATATAAAAGTTAATAAATAATAGAAGCTATAACTTCATCACCCATACATTTCAATATATATATTCTGGGCTATAGTTTATATATAATATATGAATAAGGCAGTATATAATATTATACTTATACATAAAACATTCTGATATATAATACACTATATTGATTAATTTGGCGTTACTTTTTACAGATAAACTGCTGTCCATTTCATTTCCACACATACACTGCCTTCCATTTCATTTCCACACATACACTGCCTTCCATTTCATTTCCCTACATACACTGCCTTCCATTTCATTTCCACACATACACTGCTGTCCCTTTCATTTCCACACATACACTGCTTTCCATTTCATTTCCACACATACACTGCTGTCCATTTCATTTCCACACATACACTTCTGTCCTTTTCATTTCCACACATATACTGCCTTCCATTTCATTTCCACACATACACTGCCTTCCATTTCATTTCCACACATACACTGCTTTCCATTTCATTTCCACACATACACTGCTGTCCATTTCATTTCCACACATACACTTCTGTCCTTTTCATTTCCACACATATACTGCCTTCCATTTCATTTCCACACATACACTGCCTTCCATTTCATTTCCACACATACACTGCCTTCCATTTCATTTCCACACATACACTGCCTTCCATTTCATTTCCACACATACACTGCCTTCCATTTCATTTCCACACATACACTGCCTTCCATTTCATTTCAACACATACACTGCTGTCCATTTCATTTCCACACATACACTGCCTTCCATTTCATTTCCACACATACACTGTAGCATTTCATTTCCACACATACACTGCCTTCCATTTCATTTCCACACATACACTGCCGTCCATTTCATTTCCACACATACACTGCCTTCCATATCATTTCCACACATACACTGCTGTCCATTTCATTTCCACACATACACTGCCTTCCATTTCATTTCCACACATACACTGCTGTCCATTTCATTTCCACACATACACTGTTGTCCATTTCATTTCCACACATACACTGCTGTCCATTTCATTTCCACACATACACTGCCTTCCATTTCATTTCCACACATACACTGCCTTCCATTTCATTTCCACACATACACTGCTGTCCATTTCATTTCCACACATACACTGCCTTCCATTTCATTTCCACACATACACTGCCTTCCATTTCATTTCCACACATACACTGCCTTCCATTTCATTTCCACACATACACTGCTGTCCATTTCATTTCCACACATACACTGCTGTCCATTTCATTTCCACACATACACTGCCTTCCATTTCATTTCCACACATACACTGCCTTCCATTTCATTTCCACACATACACTGCCTTCCATTTCATTTCCACACATACACTGTTGTCCATTTCATTTCCACACATACACTGCTGTCCATTTCATTTCCACACATACACTGCTGTCCATTTCATTTCCACACATACACTGTTGTCCATTTCATTTCCACACATACACTGCCTTCCATTTCATTTCCACACATACACTGTTGTCCATTTCATTTCCACACATACACTGCCTTCCATTTCATTTCCACACATACACTGCTGTCCATTTCATTTCCACACATACACTGTTGTCCATTTCATTTCCACACATACACTGCCTTCCTTTTCATTTCCACACATACACTGCTGTCCATTTCATTTCCACACATACACTGTTGTCCATTTCATTTCCACACATACACTGCCTTCCTTTTCATTTCCACACATACACTGCTGTCCATTTCATTTCCACACATACACTGCCTTCCATTTCATTTCCACACATACACTGTTGTCCATTTCATTTCCACACATACACTGCCTTCCATTTCATTTCCACACATACACTGCCGTCCATTTCATTTCCACACTTACACTGCCTTCCATTTCATTTCCACACATACACTGCCTTCCATTTCATTTCCACACATACACTGCTGTCCATTTCATTTCCACACTTACACTGCCTTCCATTTCATTTCCACACATACACTGTTGTCCATTTCATTTCCACACATACACTGCCTTCCATTTCATTTCCACACATACACTGCTGTCCATTTCATTTCCACACATACACTGTTGTCCATTTCATTTCCACACATACACTGCCTTCCTTTTCATTTCCACACATACACTGCTGTCCATTTCATTTCCACACATACACTGTTGTCCATTTCATTTCCACACATACACTGCCTTCCTTTTCATTTCCACACATACACTGCTGTCCATTTCATTTCCCTACATACACTGCCTTCCATTTCATTTCCACACATACACTGCTGTCCATTTCATTTCCACACATACACTGCTGTCCATTTCATTTCCACACATACACTGCCTTCCATTTCATTTCCACACATACACTGCCTTCCATTTCATTTCCACACATACACTGCCTTCCATTTCATTTCCACACATACACTGCCTTCCATTTCATTTCCACACATACACTGCTGTCCATTTCATTTCCACACATACACTGCTGTCCATTTTATTTCCACACATACACTGCCTTCCATTTCATGTCCACACATACACTGCCTTCCATTTCATTTCCACACATACACTGCTGTCCATTTCATTTCCACACATACACTGCCTTCCATTTCATTTCCACACATACACTGCCTTCCATTTCATTTCCACACATACACTGCTGTCCATTTCATTTCCACACATACACTGCTGTCCATTTCATTTCCACACATACACTGCCTTCCATTTCATTTCCACACATACACTGCCTTCCATTTCATTTCCACACATACACTGCTGTCCATTTCATTTCCACACATACACTGCCTTCCATTTCATTTCCACACATACACTGCCTTCCATTTCATTTCCACACATACACTGCCTTCCATTTCATTTCCACACATACACTGCTGTCCATTTCATTTCCACACATACACTGCCTTCCATTTCATTTCCACACATACACTGCCTTCCATTTCATTTCCACACATACACTGCCTTCCATTTCATTTCCACACATACACTGCTGTCCATTTCATTTCCACACATACACTGCCTTCCATTTCATTTCCACACATACACTGCCTTCCATTTCATTTCCACACATACACTGCTGTCCATTTCATTTCCACACATACACTGCTGTCCATTTCATTTCCACACATACACTGCCTTCCATTTCATTTCCACACATACACTGCCTTCCATTTCATTTCCACACATACACTGCTGTCCATTTCATTTCCACACATACACTGCCTTCCATTTCATTTCCACACATACACTGCCTTCCATTTCATTTCCACACATACACTGCCTTCCATTTCATTTCCACACATACACTGCTGTCCATTTCATTTCCACACATACACTGCCTTCCATTTCATTTCCACACATACACTGCCTTCCATTTCATTTCCACACATACACTGCTGTCCATTTCATTTCCACACATACACTGCCTTCCATTTCATTTCCACACATACACTGCTGTCCATTTCATTTCCACACATACACTGCTGTCCATTTCATTTCCACACATACACTGCCTTCCATTTCATTTCCACACATACACTGCC